ATTATTTTTGTTTCTATTTTTTTTTTACATATATTTAATAATTTAATTNTCCATTAGTTACTAAATTTATCATGTTTACATTCACTAATTAAAAATTAAATTCATTCAATTTTATTTCAACTTACTATATAGAGAATGATCAAAATTTTATTTCGGTATAAAAATATTTCAGAAACAGAATAAAAATTAATAATTATTTTTAAAATATTAATCAAAATATTCTAACAACATTGATGAAATATATCAAAATATCTCAAAATAATATAGATCAACTCTAACATTGAAATTTCGCTTCAATTATTATTTTTGTTTCTATTTTTTTTTTACATATATTTAATAATTTAATTGAATGGGTATAAATGCGATGAATTTATTAACTCATTAATAGGGTAAGTATAAATAGAGTTAATTTAGTAATTTGACATAAGAAGATTAAGAAATGGGGGTAAAAAAAGATATTTAAAGAGTGAAAATTACACACCCATAAATTATACTCCATTCGTTCCTAAATATTTGTCATTTAAAATTTTTGTATAGGAATTAAAAAAATTATTAAATAACTCTAATATGAGTAAAAAATAATTACATAAGAGTAAAATATTTTNGGGTAAGTATAAATAGAGTTAATTTAGTAATTTGACATAAGAAGATTAAGAAATGGGGGTAAAAAAAGATATTTAAAGAGTGAAAATTTAACACCCATAAATTATACTTCATTCGTTCCTAAATATTTGTCATTTAAAATTTTTGTATAAAGATTAAAAAATTATTAAATAACTCTAATATGAGTAAAAAATAATTACATAAGACTAAAATATTCTTATTCAATACGTATTGGGAATTAAAGGAATACGAAAGACACTTAACCTCTACCAAATATAATACATTAAAAAATTAAGGATAAATTTAAAAAAAATATATTAATTAAATTTTAATTGCATTAAACGATAAATATTATTAAATAAAAAAATTTATATAAAACGACATATATTTAAAAATAAAAGATAAAAGTAGTAATTGTGATAACAAGTTACAACCATTAGTAGATTGGGTTTTACTATCAATCATCGGACAAAAATAATTATATTAATAAATAATATTCATCTTTGTTATTTGGGACTTGGGAGATGGGACAGAGAGTAAATTCTATATAACAACGGACTTTGCTTTAATGATGTTCTTTATTTTTGTAAAAATTCTCCCATATTGAAATCATTCTTGAAGTCTGGTCAAGGGTTAAAGCCTCGTCCTCTGCTCCTCCTCAAAAAAAAAAATAATAATAAATAAATAATGATAAAAAAACAAATAAATATATATATATACAACTAATTAAGAATAATGGCTTAAATTACTTTTATCTCACTTACCGGCCAATTCAGCGGGAAAATGCCCATTCTGGACAAGAAGGTCAAAATGGTAAAAGATCGAAAACACCGACGCCGGCATCGTCCAAAGTGACGCCACCGGAATATTCCTCCGATTACCGACGTCAACCACCCACTTTAGGAACGTATCGGCTATGATGAGCGTCGCCGGCGGCTCCAGCCGAGTGAGAAGCTGCTCAAACGGCTCCTCCATTTTGGTGAAAACCGCCTCGATGAACGTGGGCATGTTGGCTGCCCGAACCAGCTCGGAGGGCAAGACGTTAGGAATGGTAGCGAAGCGAATGTTAGGCGGCTTGACCTCGGATCCGATGAAGCCTAACCATTCCTCTGTGATGACGAAGGTGATGAGAAAGTTGTAATCAGAAATTATTAACTTGCAGAGGTTCATCATAGGGTTGATGTGGCCTCTGCCGGGATAAGGCACGGCCACCACGTGCACGGTATTGGTCTTGGAGTGGGAACCCATAAGTTGATACCTACTCCGGCGAAGATTAAGAAATCGGACGGTGGTGCTAATGGTGAAACTTCTTCAGTCGTTGTTTTTCATTTAATTATTTTTTGGGGGACTCGAAGAAATAGGTCTTGTGGTAGTGCGCTGTTGACTGACTGTTACGTACGGCGATTTTAGACGCAACTTGTTCGTATCATAGCAATTTCTTGGATGGAGCAACTTCTTAGAGTGAATGATTACCGTAGTGTCCGTGTTTTTGATCGAATTGAAAAATTTAACTAAAATGTCAAATATTTTTAATTTAAATAATTTTTTTTTCTTTGCGAGTAAGTTTCAATACTGTACCCAAAAAATGAGAGGGAATTGAGAACTAACTATCTCGTGGTAGTGGAGGATGGAAGGGTATAAATGTAAAAGGAAAAGAATGAATATTTGGTACAATTGAAAAATTGGTATTAGAGTAATTATCTTTTTTCAATAAAATAAGAATAACGTNATATTGAAATCATTCTTGAAGTCTGGTCAAGGGTTAAAGCCTCGTCCTCTGCTCCTCCTCAAAAAAAATAAATAATAATAATAATAAATAATAATTAAAAAACAAATAAATATATATATATATACAACTAATTAAGAATAATGGCTTAAATTACTTTTATCTCACTTACCGGCCAATTCAGCGGGAAAATGCCCATTCTGGACAAGAAGGTCAAAATGGTAAAAGATCGAAAACACCGACGCCGGCATCGTCCAAAGTGACGCCACCGGAATATTCCTCCGATTACCGACGTCAACCACCCACTTTAGGAACGTATCGGCTATGATGAGCGTCGCCGGCGGCTCCAGCCGAGTGAGAAGCTGCTCAAACGGCTCCTCCATTTTGGTGAAAACCGCCTCGATGAACGTGGGCATGTTGGCTGCCCGAACCAGCTCGGAGGGCAAGACGTTAGGAATGGTAGCGAAGCGAATGTTAGGCGGCTTGACCTCGGATCCGATGAAGCCTAACCATTCCTCTGTGATGACGAAGGTGATGAGAAAGTTGTAATCAGAAATTATTAACTTGCAGAGGTTCATCATAGGGTTGATGTGGCCTCTGCCGGGATAAGGCACGGCCACCACGTGCACGGTATTGGTCTTGGAGTGGGAACCCATAAGTTGATACCTACTCCAGCGAAGAATAAGAAATCGGACGGTGGTGCTAATGGTGAAACTTCACAGGCGACAACGACTGAAGAAGGCTGCTTTTCATTTAATTATTTTTTGGGGGACTCGAAGAACGAGGTCTTGTGGTAGTGCGCTGTTGACTGACTGTTACGTACGGCGATTTTAGACGCAACTTGTTCGTATCATAGCAATTTCTTGGATGGAGCAACTTCTTAGAGTGAATGATTACCGTAGTGTCCGTGTTTTTGATCGAATTGAAAAATTTAACTAAAATGTCAAATATTTTTAATTTAAATAATTTTTTTTTCTTTGCGAGTAAGTTTCAATACTGTACCCAAAAAATGGGAGGGAATTGAGAACTAACTATCTCGTGGTAGTGGAGGATGGAAGGGTATAAATGTAAAAGGAAAAGAATGAATATTTGGTACAATTGAAAAATTGGTATTAGAGTAATTATCTTTTTTCAATAAAATAAGAATAACGTAAATTTGACATGTTTAAATTTTTTTCAATTTTTATTGTTTAAAAATAACAATTATAGTTAATTACAAAATATTCAAAATTTAAAAGCAACTATTTGTTAGAATTAAAATCTAAAAAGAGTGAGTTGTAAACTATTCAAAATTAAAGAGAATATTTTATAATTAATCCTAAATATTTAACTAGTTCTAATTTCCAATGGATTGAAAGATCTATTGACGTCATCTTTCCTACTTGTCATTAGGTTTGAATGACTGTAATGACAAAACGTTATTTTTCCCAAAAAAAAAAAAAATTTATTTAAATTTAATTTTATTAGTCTTATTTATGAGTTTTAAATAATAGTGAAATCAACATCAATCATAGCAAAAAAAAAAAGACAAGAAAATGAAAAAAAACGAAATGGTCCATGGATACCTACCCAAACAAAACGAATGGTCCATGTACATTGTTCCAACTAGTTTTTCCAAAACGCCACATGGCACATGGCACAAAAGTGACCTCAGCCCTGACCTNGTAGTAATTGTGATAACAAGTTACAACCATTAGTAGATTGGGTTTTACTATCAATCATCGGACAAAAATAATTATATTAATAAATAATATTCATCTTTGTTATTTGGGACTTGGGAGATGGGACAGAGAGTAAATTCTATATAACAACGGACTTTGCTTTAATGATGTTCTTTATTTTTGTAAAAATTCTCCCATATTGAAATCATTNTTTATATGTATTTTATTTAATTTAATTTTTAATTTGAACAAAAATAAGTTGTTTATTTCGAGATTAAAATATTCATAAAAGATAAATTTTTCTTTAACTNCATTCTTGAAGTCTGGTCAAGGGTTAAAGCCTCGTCCTCTGCTCCTCCTCAAAAAAAAAAATAATAATAAATAAATAATGATAAAAAAACAAATAAANACAGAGAGTAAATTCTATATAACAACGGACTTTGCTTTAATGATGTTCTTTATTTTTGTAAAAATTCTCCCATATTGAAATCATTCTTGAAGTCTGGTCAAGGGTTAAAGCCTCGTCCTCTGCTCCTCCTCAAAAAAAATAAATAATAATAATAATAAATAATAATTAAAAAACAAATAAATANCGGCATCTGCCTTGCGGGATTTATATAAAGGGGACGCTGATTAGTTGGGGGTGCGGCCCCCGCGATACGGTACAGGGGTATTTTTGTAAATACGTCTATATTATGGTTATATAAATACTTAAGATGTAATCNACATTAAAAAATTAAGGATAAATTTAAAAAAAATATATTAATTAAATTTTAATTGCGTTAAACGATAGATATTATTAAATAAAAAAAATTATATAAAACGACATATATTTAAAAATAAAAAATGAAGGTAGTAATTGTGATAACAAGTTACAACCATTAGTAGATTGGGTTTTACTATCAATCATCGGACAAAAATAATTATATTAATAAATAATATTCATCTTTGTTATTTGGGACTTGGGAGATGGGACAGAGAGTAAATTCTATATAACAACGGACTTTGCTTTAATGATGTTCTTTATTTTTGTAAAAATTCTCCCATATTGAAATCATTCTTGAAGTCTGGTCAAGGGTTAAAGCCTCGTCCTCTGCTCCTCCTCAAAAAAAATAAATAATAATAATAATAAATAATAATTAAAAAACAAATAAATATATATATATATACAACTAATTAAGAATAATGGCTTAAATTACTTTTATCTCACTTACCGGCCAATTCAGCGGGAAAATGCCCATTCTGGACAAGAAGGTCAAAATGGTAAAAGATCGAAAACACCGACGCCGGCATCGTCCAAAGTGACGCCACCGGAATATTCCTCCGATTACCGACGTCAACCACCCACTTTAGGAACGTATCGGCTATGATGAGCGTCGCCGGCGGCTCCAGCCGAGTGAGAAGCTGCTCAAACGGCTCCTCCATTTTGGTGAAAACCGCCTCGATGAACGTGGGCATGTTGGCTGCCCGAACCAGCTCGGAGGGCAAGACGTTAGGAATGGTAGCGAAGCGAATATTAGGCGGCTTGACCTCGGATCCGATGAAGCCTAACCATTCCTCTGTGATGACGAAGGTGATGAGAAAGTTGTAATCAGAAATTATTAACTTGCAGAGGTTCATCATAGGGTTGATGTGGCCTCTGCCGGGATAAGGCACGGCCACCACGTGCACGGTATTGGTCTTGGAGTGGGAACCCATAAGTTGATACCTACTCCAGCGAAGAATAAGAAATCGGACGGTGGTGCTAATGGTGAAACTTCACAGGCGACAACGACTGAAGAAGGCTGCTTTTCATTTAATTATTTTTTGGGGGACTCGAAGAACGAGGTCTTGTGGTAGTGCGCTGTTGACTGACTGTTACGTACGGCGATTTTAGACGCAACTTGTTCGTATCATAGCAATTTCTTGGATGGAGCAACTTCTTAGAGTGAATGATTACCGTAGTGTCCGTGTTTTTGATCGAATTGAAAAATTTAACTAAAATGTCAAATATTTTTAATTTAAATAATTTTTTTTTCTTTGCGAGTAAGTTTCAATACTGTACCCAAAAAATGAGAGGGAATTGAGAACTAACTATCTCGTGGTAGTGGAGGATGGAAGGGTATAAATGTAAAAGGAAAAGAATGAATATTTGGTACAATTGAAAAATTGGTATTAGAGTAATTATCTTTTTTCAATAAAATAAGAATAACGTAAATTTGACATGTTTAAATTTTTTTCAATTTTTATTGTTTAAAAATAACAATTATAGTTAATTACAAAATATTCAAAATTTAAAAGCAACTATTTGTTAGAATTAAAATCTAAAAAGAGTGAGTTGTAAACTATTCAAAATTAAAGAGAATATTTTATAATTAATCCTAAATATTTAACTAGTTCTAATTTCCAATGGATTGAAAGATCTATTGACGTCATCTTTCCTACTTGTCATTAGGTTTGAATGACTGTAATGACAAAACGTTATTTTTCCCAAAAAAAAAAAAATTATTTAAATTTAATTTTATTAGTCTTATTTATGAGTTTTAAATAATAGTGAAATCAACATCAATCATAGCAAAAAAAAAAGACAAGAAAATGAAAAAAAACGAAATGGTCCATGGATACTTACCCAAACAAAACGAATGGTCCATGTACATTGTTCCAACTAGTTTTTCCAAAACGCCACATGGCACATGGCACAAAAGTGACCTCAGCCCTGACCTAATTGTTCATTTGTTCTTGTGTTTTTTTGTGCAGAGTAGGTGTTGCGTGTCAAATTACATTTTGGGGTGGTCTTGCTTCACGAGTCAAAAGTTCTTCGCCATTTTTTACAAGTTGTTTTGATCCGTTTATATGTATTTTATTTAATTTAATTTTTAATTTGAACAAAAATAAGTTGTTTATGTCGAGATTAAAATATTCAAAAAAGATAAATTTTTCTTTAACTTTATTAGAATATGTGTGGCTCATATTTGCTGTGTACATAATGGCAAAGAGACAGATGTCGGAGCGGGCATAGCATAGCAGAGTGGAGCGATACGGAGCTCGCGACGGCATCTGCCTTGCGGGATTTATATAAAGAAGACGNAGTTTCATTGATGATTACTCACGAAAGGTCTGGGTGTACTTCATGCGGCACAAGTCAGAAGCGTTTGCCAAGTTCAAGCTGTAGAAAACTGAAGTAGAGAACCAGACAGGGAAGAAGATTAAATGCCTCAGGTCAGATAATGGTACTGAGTACACAAATTCAAAGTTCCAGGAGTTGTGTGAGCAGCATGGGATCAAGAGACACTTTACAGTCCGCAAGACACCACAACAAAATGGTGTAGCGGAAANGCATGGGATCAAGAGACACTTCACAGTCCGCAAGACACCACAACAAAATGGTGTAGCGAAAAGGATGAACAGAACGATAGCCGAGAAAACTCGGTGTCTCAGGTTGAATGCAGGGCTTGTAAAGAATTTCTGGGCAGAGACAGTGAATATGGCATGTTTCTTGATTAACAGATCACCGAGGGCAGCACTAGATGGGAAAGTATCAGAGGAGGTGTGGACAGGCAGTGAGGTAGACTACTCTGGTTTGAGAGTGTTTGGATGTCCAGCCTATGTACATGTTTCTAGTGAGGAGAGGTCGAAGCTTGATGCGAAGTCTAGACAGTGTATCTTTCTGGGATATCAGAAAGGAGTGAAAGGCTTCAAGCTCTGGGATCCGAAGGCAAACAAGATGGTGATCAGTAGAGATGTG